GCTCTGTTAGCCCAACAAACGACTGTATGCAGATTAGGGGACCTGTTAACGGCGTTTTGATCTTTTGGAATTAATTTTGTTGTAGGAAGTATGACTAGCGTTGTGAATGTGTGGTTGTGTTTTCCAACCGGTGCCGATGGACCTTGTTTTTCAATATGTACTGATTATCGTTTTCTCATTTATGAAAATGGCTTTTGAAACCAACACACGTTTTATGGGAGTTCTTTGCAACATAGAATTATTTATATTTTTCAAACTTCCTTAGTAAATGTTATGACAGCTTAAATTAGCCAAAACAATAATGTTATTCCAATGGATGAAGAAAAGTATGTTCAGTACCCTTACATTTATATTACCTACATTTTATATCATTTGAACCTGATGCAAATTACTACTTAGGCTAAACATCTCAAATTGAGAAACATGTATCGTGACTTTGTACGACGTAAGACTGAGGCTAAACAATGACATGGTGTGACAAAAACTATAACATCAGGCTTCAAACTATTCACAGATACGTCAGAATACACTAGTGTGTGACGTCACGTACCTGGCCGCAATTTCTCACTTCACGTTGTTTGTAATGAATGACGCAACTGAGAGTTGGGAATAAATTAAGGGAGAACAAAGGGGGAGCGGGAAGGGGGCAAAGAAACCTAATGAAATATTCAAAGTTGATTAGCATCACTGGAGTGACACTAGGAGCCTGGCTGATCCTTAGTGGAGGGTCCTTAAATCCTGGATAAAACCTTAGAAGCATTTTACGACTTTGGATATAGGGAAAACTGTTGAAAACGTAAGGCGTTCATATTCTTATTTTAGTTTTCCTTGTCATTATAGTATTTAATATTACTTTCCACAGAGTATTTATTACAAAAAAAAATCAAATTCAGAACCCAGTCTACGAAGAATGATTTTGTTGTTTGGTACATAAATTGTTTACCATTCAAAGGAGTTAGTATTACATATTTTGTAAAGTTTATCAAACTGGGCTCTTGACAACCACTACAGTAGCTCTTGATTGAGTTCTCTCATCTGATATTGGTTCTAAAGTTTTCTCTCACGCAACATTTGTGTTATGTATTTTTCCTTTAGTTTATTTTTGTACTTTATTTCTTTTGGTTTTATTGTTTAGCTTACTTTTTAAATAACTCTGGCGATAACATGGAACCAACAACAGAATTTGTATGTTATTATTATTAATTAGTATTATATGGGTTGCCCTTATTATAAAAAGTAGTTATTTAATTACATACGCGTTATGTAGAAAACGTTCAAGTTAGCTATAAAACTGATTCTGCACACTCAAAAACCTGAACGATAATTGCCAAAAGATTTAAATACAACACTTTCTAAATAACATTTAAACGCTATTCAAACAGAAGCTATCGAATCAAACAAATCAGTGTACACACATTAAAAAGCTTATTTAATACAACAGTTTCATTTTTGGCAACTATTTGTTTAAAATGTTATTAATTTGTGATTTACCTTGAAGAAACCTAACACGTTAAAAAATGTGTCACTAATATATGGCTTTAATTTTCAGATTTCATTTGTTTGAACATTGATCATGTATGAGTCAAGTAAACTAATTTCGTAAAATTTATGCCCACTACAATGCTCATTAACGATCCCTAATCTTGTCCATTACAAGGTAGTGTATTAAAGAAAGAGAAACAGTAAATTTTTTAGCAAATTACCTTCATTCTAACAGTTTTACTGGCTTTAATCCTCAAGAAGTCTCCAATTAAAATCTCAACCCTCTATAACGTCGCAATAACTCACTCTAAGTACGACACGGACCACCAGGCCTACCTGAGGAGGCTGGCAATGGCTGCTCTAGCGTCTGAGGCGTTTACTGTGTCTAGTCGAGCGGATAATGCGAATTGCTCGCGATCTGGAGATGAGGAAATAGAAAGAAACCAACGACACTCCGGGGAGACGTTCGCCTATCAGAGGATCATCAATCTGACCCAGGGGGGGGGAGGGGGCGCTGCGACATATCCGCCGATTATATCACCGATTATTATTAGTCTACCCGGGTTGAATCAGTGTGTTTTGTGTATCCAGGAGGGCGTTTGTGCGTAGGATTAAATTATGAGCCATTTCGTATAATTCTTTGCAGGCCGTTAAATATAATTTAAGAATTGAGTAATTTTATTTTTAATAATTTTAATGGACTTTTAAATATTTATTAAAATATCTCTTATGTAACAATAAAAACATATTATTAATACACCTTACGTCATTATTTTGATGAAGTGTGTGATCTATTGGACGTCGTACTTGAGTATCGAGTAATATAGACTTTTTTATACTTTCATTCAGAGAGTAAAGAGTGTAACCATAAAGAAATGTATCCTTTGAAACCCCAGTACCCAAGTTTATACCTTTAACACGAAAATATTTTTGTTCGAGTTATTTGAAAAATAAGAAAAGTACACAAAAATACAAGCGTTGAGTTCGTATAATTCACCAATATTTTTGTCTTTGTATAAACTTAATAATATCAATGCTTTCCAAACGAATAATATCTGTTACACTTTATAATTGTTTCTTAAATTGTAAACACATTGAAAACAGATCACAAACGATTATTTCCAGGAAGAAAGAGGAAGTTGAAAGTACGCAACAAATGAAGGGCTCGTGACAAGCGGATTATGAAGGGTCGACACAATGGGATCCTTGTAATATCATTTACAACTCCTGCAGGACAAGGTGGATGCAATAAAACAAAAAGAACGACTCGGAATTCGTAATCTGCTGGACAAAGGATCGACATCTGAGGCTGAGGAGATTAAAAAGTTGACGACACTTCCTACGGAGGAGGTACTTAGCTAAAGAGGATTTTAAAACCGCATCAGTCCTTGGGACCGCGAACTGTACGGGGCTTGGGCAGAAAGAAATAAGTAACCTTTGTCGTGATTGTTTTAAGTCTTATTGGATTAATGTGGAAGTATCAATAGGTTTTTAACGGGAAATAATCAGTTTATATTCCCTTGAGTTTGAGAAGATAAACAAATCGGAGGGAGATGGAAGTAGAAATCAAGGTATACACATTTTTATTTTATATTGTCGGTGTTTGAAGTTAAATTTGGTGATTTTTTTTGTAATTTACAATGTGAATTTTTATATAAAAATAACACTGTTAGAAGATTTACGAAGTATTAACTTAATTTAGGTAAAAACCCAACAAATCCTTCTCCGACGGTATAATTGGAATCCTTCTCTGACATGAAAAATTTCTTAAAGGTTCCAAAGCAATTTCATTTTATAGAATAAATAGTATTAATAACTAAATAAAATCCACTATGTAACGTATTAAAATAGAAAACTAAATCATCACAAAATCAAAACTTACTCAATTCAAACCATCAATTATTAACCCCTAGCATCTTTTGAACCCGAAATAAAAAACCACTTGACTCGATAATCCCTCCAAAAATGAGACAAAGGGTGAAGGAAGTGACAAGATTGCGTTCTGTGGCTGCTGCGCGCTCGATTAGCCCAGTAACGAGTATTGTAGGGCAATTTGTGGATGGGGGGAGGGAGGGGAGGTAAGTAAGCATCTGCTTGACAACATAGAGGAAAGCTATCTGATTACATGGTCCATGTACTTATACTGCGGCCGTTAAGTTGGGCGCACCGCGCACCGCACATAAAAACATCCACTGACTTTGCACCCCGGGTATTAACTCATTAAACCCCCCGCTTCACTTGATAGGGTATTAAACTGTTATTACTTTTTGTCAAATTTTATCAAATATGTTTAAAAAGTGTTATTTAATATATTAGGTGGCTATTTACGCTTTTATGAGCATAGCTATTGCTAACACACATGTTATTATTTTTATTTGTTTTAGGTCTATGTAATAAATTTATACACTTATTCATTTCATTATAAATAATTAAATTTTAATTTTTTTTTTTTATAAAAACAGGATTAGTAATAAATACATAACATAAAAAAGACGAAAATATATAACCTGTTATAAAATACTAAAAGTGAGGAAACGACAATGATGAATATACATACTTTAACCCAAATAATCAATGTATACATACAAATATTATTAATACATCAACTTTTATAAGCCTACCTTTATTTATATTGTATTTAATGTCGCTTGCAAAACTTGATCTATAAAAGTGATTGTATATTATACACAATAGTAATACTTAACTATATAGTAATGCTTAGTAATACTTACTATATAGGCATAAATAATGTGAATGAAATTAAGTAACAACTTTTCATAATAAGAGCAACCCATATGATACAAAATAATAGTAATAACAACATAACAAAATCATATGTTAGTTTTTTTTTCATTTCACAAGACAAATATAAGCTAGACAATAAACCAAAAGAAAGAAAGTACAAAAATAAACCAAAAGAAAAATACGTACCCGTAACACAAATGTTGCGAGAGAGAAAACTTAGAACCAATATCAGATGAGAGAACTCAATCAAGAGCTACTGTAGTGGTTGTCAAGCACCCAAGTTGATAAAACACAACAGCCCTCTAGATCACGGGGTGTATTAATTGTTGGGGCGTGTGTGCCACCGGAAATACGGTGGAAACACCGGAAGTGACGTCACGACATCCATCAGTGACGTGTCAATGTCTGGCGGTTCCGGTGCGCGATCGTTCGGAAAACTGAATCACTCTAATCCAGATCCTTTCTCCTCAGATAAAAATATGTTTTCCCTCCGATCGGTCCCAACCATGTGGAAAACGCTTGGATTTCATCCGTGGTTGGTTTTGATTTCACGTTTTCCGTGTTGAATGTTTTGACGGATTATTCTTATTGCGTGGTTTGTTTGTCAAGCTTTTGCTATTTCCTAATCAATGCATGTGTATTTTCAGTGCGTTGTGTTTTGGAAATTGTGCCGTTTTTATTAGTTCGTATTAGCTTTAGCATTTTCATCGTTCCTGTGCTTTTTGTGCGGTTTGTGTAGTGGGTAAAAATAGCTAATAGTTGGTTTTTTACAGGCAGACGAAAGGGGAGAACTAAATAGTCGATTGCACGAAGATCAGTGAGTACCAATTTGCTATAGACCTACTTTTATTAGAATTACACGTTAAAAGTGTGTAATAATACTTTTGATAATTTATAATTATTTGAACTTAATTCCACGGTTCACGAACAATTAATCGATGTAATTATAAACAAATAAATATTTAAACCTTCAGTACCTTGATATTTTGCTGTATAAGTTTATCTTTATAATAACAAATCCAAAATAAGCTTACAAAACTGTTGCATTCGTATCTTGTCAACAACAACTTTGTAGCTTCCTCAAACATGAAACAAAGTTTTCACTAGAAGAGTTAAAGTGGAACAATGATTCAGTGAATGCAGTCGTTATTGAGTCTGGTGCCGTAATCGCTGGTGTAAATGCTAAACAGGGGTTACGACAGTGTAAGCCGCGACGTCGACAGAGCGAAACGCGTAAAAGTCGGAGCCAAAAGGCGTAAAAGCGGCCGTAAATTATGTAAATGTGCGACTTTTGTGTCAATCAGCACGTTTATGTCTGAATGCAGCTAGTTATCGAGGGCAGCATTGTACGTGGATCGAGATCTTATGAAATAGTTGCGTCTAATTGAAGCGTTTAAATATAATCTTTGACAATAATTCATTTGTAGATCTATATTTTTACACACGTTGTTCTAACATTTCCATATATATATGGGGATGTATACGTTTGTGTATTGGATGAGAACTCAGCCAATTCAAGTGATTTTAATGTTAGATTTAAAATCAATTTTTGGATAAGTGTCAAAGGTATGGTTTAGTTTTTATTATTTAGTTAAGACCCCTTTTCAGTTAGAATATCCAAAAGGCTTGATTCGAAGAAGTAAATTGTTTCAGTTGGTAATAAATAATTTATTTTGAGCAAGAACTTAATTCGAAAGCATTGAGCTTAACGTAATAAGATCCCATTAGTAAAAGTTAACTGTTAACTAGCTCCTGATGACTTACAACTGGAACCTTTTGTCAACTATCCGTGACTAATCGTGATTCTTCTTGTAATGTGCATTTCACTTCCGTCAGCAAAAACCTTGAGATATAGATTTCTGTCGAAGCGCTAGGCGTTAGCTGGACACATAAGTCCTTGACAGGCTCTGATTTATCAAAGGAGGGGAAATCCTTAAGGGGGGTGTCGTAGAGCAGGGGAAGAGGTTCGCGTGAACATAATTGCAAAAACAACAGCTTTATGAGCGCTAGGCAAATACGGAAACGCAACTTGAATTTATGATTGAAACTTTCTAAGCCTAATCGCCAGCAAAGTCAATTTTGGAAATGAGTTTGCTTGCTTTACTGCGCCTATGTTCAATCTGAACGTCAATAAGTTACCAGATTTTGTCCCATCAGACTTCTAAACACAAACAATACGTACAGAATGTTAAAACACAACTTTATTTGTAATGTGTGAATTGATTTTTTATTCCATTATAATATAGAACCGTGGTCGTATTTTACATGACTGATACATCAGCCTAGACCTGTTGTAGATTAATCATCTTTTATAGGATTTCAATTAATTGACCAATACCACACACATTTAAAATTAAGTATGGCTGGTTACTGGAACCATATACTTAATATATACTTGACTTTTTATAAGTACATAGATTCTTGTTTTGAAATAAATTATCCCGTGATTTTTGTGTGAAAACGAAGTAGTGATTCGATCCAAAATAAAAAAAATCTTTAAACGATTGTACATGAAATGTGGTGGTTGATATTTAGCTGTCTGTAAAATGTAAAATTTGTTTAAATTTTTCATATAACACTAATAAATGGGAACACTTTCAAATATTGATTCAAAAAATTCAATTTAATTTTAATTTATTAAAAAAAACATATTATTTGCTCCCATACTGGACCAAAACAAATTCAATTTCGGACTGCAACTTTTACAAACCCCAGTTCACTTCCTTGTGTATTCAGCACTTTAAACCCCCTTTTCCATCCCTCACACCACTCCCTCTAACGGTTCCAAAGAAGCAATCGGCAGCAAGGATTTATCGTTTCCAGATATGTTTGCTTGATTTAGGAGTCGCAAAGAAACTTGCGATCTCTGTTTAATCGGACCACTCCAGGTATGAAGGATTTACGGACGAGATTTGGGGGCAGATCGAAATCTACCCTCTGGTGTAGCGCCACGCCGTTCATACACTTGGGAGGTGTCCGGCTTTGTATATGTGATTTATATATCAGTTGATTTCTTGTTTGCTCCATCTACACTTTTCCAATATGCAAGAGTCTTTTGTAAGTGATTTTAACAGATTCTAATAAAAATGGCTTACTAAGTGATTATCATTAATGGATTTCAAAGACTTAAAAAAGTCTTATGTCTATGTGATATGAAACGTACATAATTTTTTTTTTAATGTATAGTCTGATAGGTAATAAAAGCTATTCGTTAAACTATATTTAAATTACTGTTCAGTTACTGTAAGAAAATGAATTTCAAAAGCAGTGATCATTGGTTTACTCCAGTGGATATTTGTATCACTCTCTCTATAGATTAGCTTCATAAACAACTTTATTAAATTATGTACCTGGCATTATTTTTTATGTTCACATGAGGGTGATAATACTTCTGAATAGAGTGAGGATTGGCATAATGCCTTATTTTATTCATTATTTATATACTACGGTTGATTTCGAGAGACCATTACACTACTACAATAGCACTGTTGCCTAAGGGGCTCTAAAATATAAAACAAAAAAACTGTATTAAATGACCGGCAAAGGCATCTCCAGCTCCAACGCCGTAGCAAAAAGTGCAAATAATGTTACTCTGCCTAAAGCAACAAATGGGGCTATGAAAACATAGTGTGAAAGAAAACATTTTCAAGTTTTCGTTATGTCCTAGTAAACTTTGATGAGCTCAATTTGTTGCTTTAGCTACCAAGAAGACCTCTCTAATTTAATTTAACAACGTAAACCTAGAGAATTGCCTAATGAACAAAATGAATACCAGAATAAATACATGATGCCACAGCGAACCTGCAGACTAAGCGAATTTCCATGTGCCTGAATTGATATACAATTAAATCCATTTAAATAACATTAGGTTATTTAAAAACGAAAGTTGGAAATTGTGGGTTTACTTTGTTAGAGGTAACGAAAATGTGTATTTTAATAAAATTTATAATGAATATGTTTCCTACTAATTACCAACAAATTATCATTGATTCACCGTCAGGTTTTACAAACACAAAAACAAAAGACCTCTCGAATTTACATTTTATAAATACAGCTCTTCCTTTGATTACAAATCTCACTTTTAAAACCTTATTAACTAAATACGAAACCCCTATACTCTACGTATTTTGAACTATACAGGGTGTTTTCTAAGTAACCCAAATTACAAGAACAGTCACACAATTTTTAACGAAAAAACCAGCATATATTTTCGTATTCCTGTTGTCATTACTTCATTGTCATCGTTGCTTCGTCATCTATGAGATTCAGTGTTATTGGGAATTTATTGTGAATAAGACAGAACATTGTGTTTTCACAAGCTTATAAGTAGTATGTATTGAGTATGTATTGTAAATTTGTTTTAATCAGCTATTTAACACATAGAAAAGTTTGATATTACGTTTCCAGGTATCATTCTAGTGCCTAACAAATCAACTATTAATAGAAATTCAATGATTCGAGGAAAGCGGATCCTGTTGAAGGCAAGAAAACCGTAGCCCTACATAAAATACTCTATTTGACCTGCGAAATCACCATGTTGAGGCTTATTTGCAATAAATTCTCAAATTCTCAGAAACACTAAAACTCACAGATATCTTATAGTACAATTTACATTAGCTGATCGATAATTAAGTAAAGCAACACGAATGATGTCATTAAAAAGGGACTCGAGGTACCAGTATTCGTAATTATTTAATTTTTCATAAAAAGAAACACTGTATAAATATTTTCAAAAAATCAAAATGTTATTGGAAATGCTCCTCTCGTCCGTTATGGCGTTGCACGCTGAACGGGTGGACGTTATGCGAGCAGCTAGCAGCGCTGTAGATCGGCCTGGTATTGATCCAGGGCTCACCAAACTTTTAACTAACTTTTTCTCCAAGTTGGAAACTTGCTAAGAAAGCTGAGGCCTGAAAGTCTGCCTTGGAGTACAAATTTTCTCCTTCAAAACATCAGGCGTGAACCGACATCGAAACACCCGTATTTTGCACTTCACTAAATATTTATCTCTTTTGAGTTATTTTTATACAAGGTTTTACGTATATCTTTCCGCATACACATGTATATTTTGAAATTAAATGTTTTCGTAGGTATTTTTAAACTTGTGCTTTAGTTGTGCGTTGACACTATTCAGGTATTGTGTGTGTTTGAAAAGTTTATTGGGGAATTATTTAAAACGCTGTAACTCAATTTGCTTGGTAATGTATAAATTGTAATTTAAATTCCTCAGTACACCTTAACGATTTGGAGACTACATCTCTAAAAGATACGGGATATTCGATCAATACGGGCTGATATGGTCGAAGAGATATTTTTGTATGACATGTTTCAAATCATTATAACGTATTATCTCAACCACGGGCCCAGAAAATAAAAATAACCCTTTATCTTTGTGGTTACCTATATTACCTCATCATTGTGAAAAATTGTATTTCAGAATATTTCAAATCTCATTTGTTAAGACGATGAAATAAAAATCCTTCTTTATTGAGGCGAAATTAGGACCTCACGGTCCTTTCTTACAATTAACCTCTAAATAACTAACAATAATAATAAAACATTAACAAAATAAAACAACAAAGTTTACAATAAACAAATAGGTCTAAAGAAATTACATGAATTTATTTCCCTAACATAAAATCACACACACATACACTCACAGCTGCACCCCAGACCTAAAGCACGCCATCCCGCCACGCCACGGCCATACGGTTAAGGTAATATTCTTTCAGCGCCACATACACGACAATAGTGGCAATAGTGGTAATTGATAAACAGTATGTGGTTATTTTTACTACGTGTAGGTTGTTGAGGTTG